TATTATAGTGTTATATTTCAATTTCACAAAGAAACATGCAGCATTTTGTCCAAGCAATAATAAAAGGACACATTTATTTATAATTTGTCTTAAACCTCATTTTGTAAAAAAAAAAGTGAATCGAATCGAATCGTGAAATCAAAACCGTGAATCGAATCGTGAGTTGAGTGAATCGTTACATCCCTAATGTTTATAGATCATTAATAAATGGTTCACGGGTGATCACTTTACATTAATGTTCATTTTTAGACGTTATTAACATTTATAACTCATTAATAACTGGTTCACAGATGTTCACTTTACATTAAGGTTCACAGGTAATATTGGAATTAAAATTTTCAATATTAATATCTCATCGAGTCATGGGTGTGCTTTTAGTGTTTTTTCCCCAAAATAAAAATCAAGGTGATAATTTCATCTTTATAAACAAAATATATCGGTTTCTAATCATTGCTGTGGATAGGCATCATGAACTTTCGCGGAGAATCATGGGTAAGGTACAGAGTAGATTCTGGTAAGAAACATTGTAAGAAAAGTGACACGAGTCATGAGATATAAATGGGAAAACCATAAATACAACACCCTTTAGTCTTGCTAAAATAGTACATTTTTGCTGAATCATGAAATAAATCGGGAATCTGGTTTTGAGAGAAATAAGTAGTTATAAATATATTTGTTAAGCATTTATAACCTGTGAGTTAAAAATGGCTCACTATTTGGCAGGTATTGCATTAAAATCACCCTTTTACTCATGCATTTATAATTGCTTATCAATGATTTATAATGCATTTGTAAGTGAGTTATTAGTCATTTATTAACACCTTTGTAAACCCTTTATAAAGGGAACCTTAATGTAAAGTGTTACCATAAAAACAAACGGTGTCAGTAAAATGGATGATAGGAATAGATATTAATAGATACTGTTTTGTGTTGTTTTGTTTTTTTCTTCAGAAAATGAATGGTGACAAAAAGGTAACACTCATGGGGGACCTTTTCAATTCGAGTGTCTTTGAGGACTTATACAATTACAGCTACTTCTTGAATGGTGAAGGAACTGTGTGTGGTCAGGAGGCTAGCATGTACTTTGATTCCATTTTTATTCCGGTCCTTTACTCTCTGGCGCTGGTAGTGGGGCTGGTGGGAAATGGGCTGGTTCTGGTGGTACTGTGGAAGAAGAGGATGAGCTTGAATGTTACCGACATCTTCATCCTCCATCTGTGCTTAGCAGACATTCTGCTGCTGCTAACGCTGCCCTTCTGGGCTGTAGAGGCAGTGAAGGGATGGATCTTCGACACAGCGCTCTGCAAGCTGACTGGAGCTCTGTTCAAGGTGGGCAAATATGTCTTTGGGGTCAAGAATTGTTAGTGGCAATTTTCATGGCTTTGTGTTGATTTCATGAAATGATTTGGTCCACTGCTTTTCCATTTCATTGTTTCATGCACATCTTCAGTGATTAAATTGCATGAATTACAATATTCTATAGAACAGACATTCATTGGGAGGTAAAGAAACATTCAGCTTGGTCAAATGGTGTTATGTAGAACCATAAAAGGATCCTCATTCTCCTCCTTAGATTTTAGATATGTTACTCCACTCTAATATGTTTGCTATGAATTGGAATTTACTACAATGGCAAAAGCTGTTTTGAAGCACTTTTATGCTTTTCTGAAGTCAAAAAGTCTTCTGTGGAGCCCCTGGAATATTTTGTGTGTCATTTTACACATAAAAGGTTAACAAGTGATTTTTTTCCACACTAAAACACATATTGGTTACATCTTGTGGCTATACTATTAAAACAATATTTTACTGAGATTTTACTGATCGTCTCCATTCACTTCCATTGTTCCTCAGTGTAACCCAAAATTTTTTTTAAGAAATTGAAAATGTTTTTTTTGTGTTAAATGACATTATACCACAAATGCTGTTGAATAAAATGAGCTTGTACCAGGAATATTTCTTTAAGAATCAACTTTGGATTTGCTGTCTCTCATTGTCACTTCTTTCTCCATCAGATCAATTTCTACTGTGGCATTTTCATGCTGTCCTGCATCAGTCTTGACCGCTACCTGTCCATCGTTCACGCAGTGCAGATGTATTCTCGTAAAAAGCCAATGTTGACTCACTGTTGCTGCGTGATGATCTGGCTCTTCTGCCTTCTGCTCTCCATTCCTGATTGGAAATTCCTTGTGGCCACTGAGGACTCCAGACGTCAGGATAAAACACAATGTGTTCCAGATTACCCGTCTGGTTCTTGGCTTCTGGTCACTCGTCTGCTCTACCATATTTTGGGTTTCATTTAACAAATGATTTTAGCAAATGGCTGCAATATAACAAAGAGTGAAAAATTGAAGGGGGTCTGAATACTTTCTGTACCCACTGTATGTACAATCAGTCAGCATGTCATCTTTTTATGCAAACTTTAACATCTGTATCAGTCAGAGAAGTTTGGCTTTAATTATGCAAGCATTGCCGTTCACACCAAGGATGATGACTATAAAAATAACTAGTCTTAATAATCATTATAATTGTATGAGAGTACTGAAGTCCACACCACCAATCATTGGAATCACTTTAAAAATGATTTTCCAGTTGATGAATGAGAAAAAACTTTGACTGCCAATCAGAATTCATGCAACTTTAAAGAGCTTGAGCATTTAAAGCTGCAGACGACAAAACTTTAGTGCACATTTATAATAAATTTCATTGTTCATTGGTGTGGACACTAATATTTATCTTCATAGTTATCCTTATATTTATCGTTCTTGGAGTGAACAGATCTTAAGTCTCATGACAGTGCTTTTTAGTATGCACATGAATATAGAGCAGTCTTGTTTAATCTTACTTTCAGATATTTCTCTTTGCACATGTGACAGCTACTCTAATTTCTCAACTGTTTTGCATTTCTCAAGCATACTGACTCCTTACAGCTCACACATTTTAGGGAGAGATAAAAAGTTTATATTTTTGCCATGGCAGTTTTTTTCCAATAAATGTTTCTATTTTACTATTATACATTGTTATTGTGTGTATTGTCTAATGTGTTCCTGCATGATTTTGTTTGTTAATAGGCTTTTTTTGTGATGTTATGGTGTATTTTTTTTTATCTTGATTTGCTGTAAATACATTTTCAAAACAGCCTTGTACTTGCACCAGGAATAGTCTGCTCTACCATATTTTGGGTTTCATTCTTCCAGCACTAATAATGCTGTTCTGTTACTCTTGCATACTGCTGCGGCTGTGGCGTGGCTCCCAGTGCATGCAGAAGAAGAGGGCCATCCGTGTCATCATAGCCCTGGTACTGGCCTTCTTCATCCACTGGACACCCTACAACATCACCCTTATTGTTGACACCATACAAACCAACTGGACCCTCAATACCAGTAACCAAACATCCTGTGAAAGTGCCACAGCATTAGATGTAGCTCTCACAGCTACTTCCACATTGGGCTACTTACACTGCTGTATCAACCCAGTGCTTTACGCTTTTGTGGGGGTGAAATTTCGCCGGCACCTGCTGGACATGCTGAGACCACTGAGCTTCACGCTGAAGGTCCCAGCAGGTCTGGTGTCACGAAAGAGCTCTGTATGGTCAGAGTCAGTGGACACCTCACACACGTCTGCTTTCTGAAACAATCACACTGATATACAGTGGGTACGGAAAGTATTCAGACCCCCTTAAATTTTTCACTCTTTGTTATATTGCAGCCATTTGCTAA